CGTCGTCGTCGTCCTTGTCGTCGGCGTTGTCATCGTCGTCGTCGTCGGCGTCGTCGGCGTCGTTGTCGTCGTCGAAGTCGTTGGAGACGTCGTCGGTGTCGTCGTAGTCGGTGTCGGCGGCGCCGTCGTCGTCGTTGTCGCTGTCGTCGTCGCCGTCGGTGTCGTGGCCAAGTGCCATGTGGTACCTACCGTCACGGTCTTGTCTTAAGAGTTCTTGCGACCAAGTTGCGGGTGGGAGGGTGGGATGTTTGCACGAGCAGTGGAGAGGACAGCTTCAAGACGGTCAAAGTGGATTGCACCACATAGATTCCACCACATAGTTTGCACCACATAGCTTGCTCAACATAGATTGCACCGCATAAATTGCAACACATGGATTGCACTACGCAGATCGCACCACATAGATTGCACAGCATACAGTGCACAACCAAGCTTGCACCACATAGATTGCACAGCCTATAGTTCACCACGTAGGGTGCACAACATAGACGGCATCACTTAAACTGCACCGCGTAGCTTGCACACTATATCATGCAACGCATAAATTGCACCACATGGATTGCGCAGCATAGATTGCACCAAGCAAGGTGTACAACACAGATTGCACCACTTAGATTGCACCGCATAGGTGGCACCACATAACCTGCACAATATTGGGTTTTCTGTTCTAGAAAATCAGTCGGTTCTACCACCCTCCCCCCTGGATGTATCCCCCCGGGAACCGATGTAAAACACATCGGGTTCTGACCCAATGTCCATCCTACCTGTAAAATCATATTATCCCAACTGGGCCAGTATCGCCCCCCCCACCATCTTCTGCAAAACATACTATGCGCACGCACTCGTTTATCAAACATCACGACTTGCCCAAAATCCTTTGCACAGTATCCTGGCGAGCTACCCAACCCTTGCGCAATGTGGGGCATAAATACAGCAGGATTGCTACAACTGGGTCGATGACGTAACATGGACGCAAGTGATTTTGCGAGCAGCAATCGGAAGGCTCGCAGGCCCCCGATCAAGATAAAAGGGCGTCGTAGTGGTCACTAACGCAGCCCAGCAGCCCTCGAAAGTGGCGACAGTGTCGCAGATCGCAGCACCCGAGGGACGGCGAGGTCTCGCTCAGGTCCCCGCGGTGCCTCACTCCGCTGGACCCACTAGCAGCCCTCGAAAGTGGCGGCAGCGTCGCAGATCGCACCCCCCCAGGGACGGCGAGGTCTCGCTCGGGTCCCAGCTGTGCCCCAGTCCGCAGGACCCACCAGCACCCCTCGAAAGTGGCGGCAGCGTCGCAGATCGCACCCTCCCCAGGGACGGCGAGGTCTCGCTCAGGTCCCCGCGGTGCCTCACACCGCTGGGCCCACCAGCAGCCCTCGAAAGTGGCGACAGTGTCGCAGATCGCAGCCCCCCCAGGGACGCCGAGGTTTCGCTCAGGTCCCCGGGGTGCTTCACTCCGCTTGACCCACCAGCAGCCCTCGAAACTGGTGACAATGTCGCACATCGCAGCTCCCCAGGGACCGCGAGGTCTCGATCAGGTCCCCGCGGTGCCTCACTCCACTGGACCCACCAGCAACCCCCGAAACTGGCGACAATGTCGCACATCGCAGCCCCCCAGGGACGGCGAGGTCTCGCTCAGGCCCCCGCGGCGCCTGAGTCCGCAGGACCCACCAGCAGCCCTCGAAACCGGAGACAATGTCGCAAATCGCACCCCCCCCCCCCAGGGACGGCGAGGTATCGCTCAGGTCCCCGCGGTGCCTCACTCCGCTGGGCCCAAGAACAACCCTCGAAAGTGGCGGCAATGTCGCAGATCGCAGCCCCCCAGGGACGGCGCATACACACACACACACATACACACACACACACGCACACACACACACACACACACACACACGCGCACGCACGCACGCACGCACGCACGCACGCACGCACGCACGCACGCACGCACGCACGCGCACGCGCGCGCGCGCACGCGCACGCGCACGCGCACGCGCACGCGCACGCGCACGCGCACGCACGCACGCACACGCACACGCACACGCACACGCACACGCACACGCACACGCACACGCACACGCACACGCACACGCACACGCACACGCACACGCACACGCACACGCACACGCACACACGCACAAACACACACAAACACACACACACACATAAACACACACACACACAAGAAGAGACAAGAGGAAAGCGAGAGGCGAGAGGCGGGAGGAGGACTGGAGACCGTAGTGCTTCATTCAAAACGAATACCCAACCAATGAGAGTTGGGAAAAAAGGGGCGAAGTGCGCACGCGCGCGTCGTCGTGCGCGCATGCCGATGTTGTAAAAAGACCTCTGGTTTCGGAGAGATTTCAAATTCGACGGTCCAACACACATATAAAACACGGAATTTCAACAATAGCGTGCGCGCGAGCTATGGCACATTCTTAAGGAAATCATTGGTTGTTTCAACATGTTCAAAAACACGCTACCAAACGGGCTTCGCGCGCGCATGTCGAAATCATTCGCAAACCCCTTGCGCGCGTGCCGTCGCGAGAATCCCACGCAACAGATGGGACGAGTTGCGCGCGCGTCGTCGCGCGCGCATGCCCAAATCCTTAAACCAAGCCGTCGGTTTTGGAAAGGTTTCGACACCGAGAGCCAATACAACATACAACAACACAAAGGTCCCAACACAGGTCTTCAACAAAACCGTGCGCGCGGAAGTCTTACAGAAACCATACGTTTGTTGTTCAACATGCTCATAACATGTTACCCAACGGGCTTCGCGAGCGCGCGCGTCGAAATCGTTCGGGTGCCCCTGCGCGCGTGCTGGGGTGGCACGGTCCGTGTCAACATATGCGAGTCACTCTCGCACGTCTGCCGCGTGCATTTCGGATTCTTCCCAAAACTTGCATCGCCGACGCGAAGACGCCGCCATCGTCGCTGGCCTGATCGGCATCGGCGCCATCATCGCCACTATCGCTGCCATCGTGTCTACAACTGTCGTCACCAACATCGCCACTATCATTGTCATCGTGTCTCCAAGTGTCGACGCTGCCATGATACAGCACCCGCCCCAGCCGCCAACTCGCACTCGAGTGCCCGTTGGGATGCGCCGAGCGGTCAGCATCACAGCGGCCTCGTCGGTCGCGCCACACTATCAGGCTGCTGCGCGCGCGCATGCGCGGGCTGGCGCGGCCGCGGAGATGCACCAGCCAGCGCCAAGCACTCATCCCAATCGCCGCCGCATGAGGTTTGCAAGCCAAGTTGCGGGTGGGTGGGTGGGATGGTTGCGCGAACAGTGGGGTGGACAACTCACCGCGAACAAATCTAATTCTCCTTTCTAAAAAGAGAATAGACTCTACCCCCCCCCCCCGGACTTATCTGCTCCCCATGCGATAGTCTATATTCTGCACACTCGTCCATCCTAAATATGATATCATATCATCCCAGCTAGGCCGGGCTCCCCGCCCTTAATATATATATATATATATATACTAAAAAACTATGCGGTGACATTTTTGCTCTACCAAAACACTTTTTCGCGAATCCCTGGCAACAAATGGGACGGAGTGCACACGCGCGCGTCGTCGCGCGCGCATGCAGAAATCCTGCAAAAACCTCCTGTGCCAGAAGGATTTCGCAATCGAGGTTCCAAAGCACATGTAAAAACACATGGTTTCGCAACACTGATTTGCTAAAAAAGCTTCCGCGCGAGCTCTTGCGAAATCTTAAGAAAGCCATAAGTTGTTTTCAAGATTCTCACAAAATACTACCAAACGGATTTCTCGCGCGCATGTCGAAATCTGTCGAACGCCCTTGCGCGTGTGCCGTCGCGAGAATCCTCTGCAGAAAACGGGACGAAGTGCAGACGCGCGCGTCGTCGCGGGCGTATGCCGAAAACCTTCAAAACCCATCGGTTTCGGAAGGATGTCAAAACCGCGCGTCAAAAAAAACAACAAAAACCCAAGGTTTCGCAACACGGATTTTCAACAAAAGCGTGCGCGCGCGCTCTTGCGTCGTCGTCGTCGTCGTCGTCGCCGTCCTCCCTCCTCTCGCGTCGTCGTCGTCGTCGTCGCCTACGTCGTCCTCTATCTTTTCTCGTGTTCGTCGTCGTCGTCCTCTTTGGCGTCGTGGTCGTTTCCGTCGTCGTTGTCGCCGTGATCGTCCTTCCTCCTCCTCCCACGTCGTCGTCGTCGTCCGTCGTCGGCGTCTCGTCGTCGTCCCTCCTATGTCGTCGCCGTCGTCGTCGTCGTCGTTGCCGTCGTCGTCGTCGTCGTCGTCGTCTTCCGTCCTCCCTCGTCGTTGCCGTCGTCGGCGTCGCCGTCCTTCCTCCTTCTTCGTCGTTCGCGTCGTCGCCGTCCTCCCTCCTCCCTCGTCGTTGTCGTCGTTGTCGCCGTCGTCGTCCTCCCTCCTTCCTCGTTGTCTTCGTTGGCGACGTCGTCGTCTTCGTCGTCGTCGGCGTCGGCGTCGTTGTCGTCTTCGTCGTCGTCGACGTCGGCGTCGTCGTCGTCGCCGCCGTCGTCGTCGTCGTCGTCGTCGTCGTCGGCGTCGTTGACGTCGTCGTCGTCGTCGGTGTCGTCGTTATCGTCGTCGTCGGCGTCGTCATCGTCGTCGTATCGTCGTCATCGTCGTCGTCGTCGGCGTCGGTGTCGTCGTCGTCGGTGTCGTCGTCGTCGTCGTTGTCGGCGTCGTCGAAGTCGTTGGAGACGTCGTCGGTGTCGTCGTAGTCGTTGTCGGCGGCGTCGTCATCGTCGTTGTCGCTGTCGTCGTCGCTGTTGTTGCCAAATGCCATGTAGTACCAACCGTCACGGTCTTAAGAGATTTTGCAAACCAAGTTGCGGGTGGGTGGGTGGGATGTTTGCGCGAGCAGTGGAGTGGACAACTCACTGCGAACAGAAATTAATGGCACCGCATAGATTGTACCACTCAGACTGCACCAAATGGATACGAGAACGAGAGAAGGGGGGGAAGTGAGGCGGGCGGAAAGAAGGACGGCCCGCGGCGGCGGGGGCCTCCTCCAGGTACGACGACCTTCGGCCGCGAACCTCGGCGGCCTCCCGGGCGACCTCGGCCAACCCCTTCTTGCAATGGCCGCCTTTGCCAGGCACGTCGGGCGCCGACCCCGACCTCGAGGCGGCGTCGTCGTCGTCGTCGTCGTCGTCATCGTCGTCGGGGACGCAGGCGAACGGCGAATGGAAGAGGACCGAGGGTGGAGGAGTCCACTGGAGGCCCCAGCCGTCCCCGTCCCTGGTCGTGGTTCCTCCTGTTCCTGTTCATCATTCCTCTTCCTCCTTCTCTACTGCTTCCTCCTCATGTTCCTCGTCCTCCTCGCCCTCCTCCCCCTCCTCTACCGCCTCCTCCTCCTCCTCCTCATCCTCCTCCTTCTCTTCCTCCTCCTCCTCTAGGTCCTCTAGGTCCTTGGTGCACCGGATCCTGCTACTGCAACACCTGGAGCAAAAAAGGAGGGTAATTCAGAAGGTCCGACACCGTCCAGGGATCACTCGCGCTTGAACCGGACCGACCTGCCAAACTTCGCACCCGACGAGGGGTCGATCCCGCTCTTCAGGAGACCCAGGGAGTGGCAAGCAGCCTTATTCCTAGGGCCGTCATGACAGGGCCTGGCCAGGAAGATCACCTTGGTTGTGCCGAGCGCCCCACAGACACTGCACCATTCTCGACCTTCCGCACCACTCCAATGTCTATGGGAGGGGTGCGCCAATCGAACAAGCCTGGGGAAACCAGTAAACGGAAACGCAGTCACTGCGCCTCTTGACCACTCTCGAATCCCACACCTGATGCAAGCGGTTCTCTTGCCCAATCCACTGAATCGTGGCCGTTCGCTTCAATCACCAACTCGAGTACAGCTGGCGCCTGTAGCCTCTTGGCTCGGAATTTGTCAGCATCGTTAAAATTCACTTTGGGTAAAGCTCCCCCAATTCCCGCGATCAAAACAGCACGGCCTTGAACCTGGAAATCAAGGGCTCGGAGTTCGTCAGAGAGACTGGGGGCATACTGTGCATCCTGGATCCTACCTTGGCGAGTCTGTCGGCATCGCGATTGCCTCTCCAGGCCCACAATGCATAGCCCTGGGCGGAAGCTTTGGCCCACGTCTGATGGCTACGAACTTCTCCACAATGATAGGCGCAGTAATATCTTCGCACTGTCGGAAAAGATCACGCCACAACGCGGCACAAGCAGCATTCTCCAGAGACTGATGGGGCCCAGCCTCCCAAATATCACAGACTACATGGACGGGTTCCACCCCCCACGTTTTCGACAAACATCAATAGAACATAAACTTCGGCGCACCCCGCTTGCTGGACAGGATGGGTCAGGGGACCGTGCAGAGCGCCGTCTAAGCCCATGGCGGTCCACTTGGACTACTCCCCAGCCAGCTCTTCAAGCGAAAAGTCCTTTGGGGAAAAGGCGGATCCATCAATAGCGACGTTTCCACTGAAGACCCCATGCGACGGGAAGACGTTCCAGATACGGGGGGGAAGGGCCTCAAAAGCCAGGCTGGGGACAAGACATCTCGCGATACCGATATCGTATGGCGCAGCCTTTCAAAATCGGCGATGGCCTCACTCCTCCTCCTCGTCCTCCTCGTCCTCGTCCTCCTCGCCCTGCTCGTCCTCCTCCTCCTCCTCCTCCTCCTCCTCCTCCTCCTCCTCCTCCTCCTCCTCCTCCTCCTCCTCCTCCTCCTCCTCCCCCTCCCCGACCTCCCTCCCGCCCTCCTGCGCGCCCCGCGCGGGCGGTCGAGCGCGCGGACCCGCTCTCCGGTGGCGCCGGCGCCTCCTCCTCCCCCAGGCCGAGGCCGTCCTGAGGGGGCGCGCGCGGCCGCCGCGGCCAGGGGGGGGGCGCTGGGCGCCTGGGCGGCCAGCGGGGGCGGAGGGCCGCGGCTCCAAAGAGGGGGGCGAGGGGGATCCTCGGCCTCCTCCTCCTCTCCTCCTCCTCCCCCTCCTCTCCTCCTCCTCCCGCCTCCGCCTCCTCCTCCCTCCTCCTCCTCCTCTCCTCCTTCCTCCTCCTCCTCCCTCCCTCCCTCCCTCCCTCCTCCTCCCTTCCCTCCCTCCCGTCCTCCTCCTCGGCGCCTCTCTCCCTCATCCTCCGCAAGCTCTCATCCTCCGCCTAAGCGCCTCCACTCCTCCTCCCCCCCCCCTCCTCACTCGCTCCCTGCTCCTCTTCCTTCCTCCTCCCTGCTCCTCCGCCCTCCTCCTCCCCCCTCTCCTCCTCTCTCCGAGAAACGCCTCCCTCCACCCTCCCTCCTCCTCCTCCTCCCTCCCTCCCTCCCTCCCTCCCCACCTCCCTCCTCCCATCCCTCCTCTCCCTCCCTCCCTCCCTCCTCCTCCCTCCTTCTCTCTCTCTCTCTTTCCCGCCCCTGTCGCCCCGACTTCCTCGCTCTGCTCCGCCAGACTTCTGGGCCACCATGGGCTTCGCTCCCCCCCCCCTCGGGCAGCCCCCCAGGCCGGGCCCCGTCCTGCGGACGGGCGCGGACGCTGCGACGGCGGGGCCCTTCTCTCCCCTTCCTCCCTTCCTCCTCCTGCCTCCCCGCCCCTCCCCGACGGGGACGACGACGACGACGGCCCCTTCCCGACGGGGACGACGACGACGACGACGACGACCCTCCCAGAGCATTTTCGTATACCCGCTGGCGACCTCACGAACGCCCAACTGCTGCCCTCGCCCTCGCCCTCCCCCATATCTCCTCCTGCCCATCCTCGGGCTCGGAGGGCCCGCAGTCGACCCCGAAGGCTGTCCTGGAGTGCGCCCCGTTGTGAATTTCGAGGCGGATCCGGCCGTGGCCATAAGAAGCCCGATTGTCGAAGTCCGCTTCTCCCTCTCGCCCTCCATCCACCTTCCCCCTCCTCACTTCACCTCGCAGCCACAGAGTACCCCTGGGTCCTCGAAGCAGGAGCCAAACATCAGGCTGACGTCGACGATCCTTCGCCGCGATCGCCCCTCCCCTCTTCCCACACCTCCCCGCACGTGACCAGCAGGAGGGGGGATGATAGAGAGAGGGGAAGGAGGTCGAGGAGGCGAGGTGAAGGCCGAGGAGGGAGGAAGGGGAAGGCTGGACGACACCGCTGCAGCCCTCGACCTGCCGGAAGCTCGGCCGCAGGACCCGACGGAGTGGGACGGCCAGGGGTGCTCCTCTGCGAGGGGTGCTCCTCCGTGAGGGGGGATCTGAACTGAACTGAACACCGTGCGCCAGGCGGCGCATTGGCCACTCAATGTCTTCGAATGTGTTTCGGCAATCTTGTGAAAACGTTGGCAACGCGTGGAATAGGAACGCCCGTGTAGCACGAAATGGAACCCAAACGGTTCCGGAGGGGGGGCGAGGGGAGGCGACGGCAGCGGCGGCGGAGGACAAGGGAGGGGGAGCTCTGGTGCAATTGGGGGGGAAACAAACCTACCTCCCTTTTGAACACCCTCGCTTCCGAGAGGTACCAAACGATGCCAAATTGCAGCCTGTACTGGTCAGGCCGCTTGACGAGGAGGCGCGTGGTGTGGCTTGGTTTTGCCTGGAAGCGAAAGAGGGGTAGGTAATTCACGCTCTGAGCAATGGATCGTGGCCCCTTCTCGCGACGGCAACCTGGGCGACGCGGTCGAAGGTCCTGCGGACGCACCAGGCGTCGGCACCGATCGGCACCAGCCTCGAGGAGGACACGCGAAGAGCCTGGCGGGCAAAAGCGCGTGGCCGAACCAGAGGAGCGAGAGGAACTGGGCGGACACCCGCATCTCAGAAGAGCTGCGGGGCGGCCACCCGTGCCAAAGCCGCCAGCCGCAGGGGGGGCCGGGACGGCGTGCGCGGGATCTGTCCACCCGGGCCCAGCACCGCGGCCGCGGCGGGACGAGATTGAGCTGGCTGGACCTCCTCGGCCCAAAACGATCGTGGGGCTCGAGCGGGCAACTATCGAAATAAACGATGGCATGAACACAACACCCCGGAGGCCCGCGCGGAACTCTTGGATCGGCGCTGGACCCCCCCACCTGGCGCGCGGAGTGCGCCAAGGGCGGCGCCGGAGGCGCCAGGGAGGGGGGTGTCCAGCGCCGATCCAAGACATCCGCGCGGGCCTCGAGATTGTTGTGCTGCTAAGGTCGCCGTGCGGTTCTCTGGTAGAAAGAGAAGGTGCCAGCGCTCCGTGCGTCGGCGCCACCTCGACCGTCTCACCCCTCCAGGTGCCATGCGGTGCCACTACCTCCTCCCCCCCGTCTCAATCCTCTCCGTCCTCCACCTCTCCCTTCCCGCCCCTTCCCTTCCTCCTCTCCCTCGACCTCCTCCGCCTCATCCCTTCTCTGCCCCCTCGGCTGTCCCGCTGACGGGGGCACGGCCGCCTTTCAGCTTTCAGGGGGAAGGGGGAGGGAGGGGAGGAGGGACCATCACAAGCTATGACAGGGAATGCTGAAGGTTCATCGACCAGACCCTACCCAAAACGTTGAAGGCTCCTTGGCCGCGGTCACTTACGCCTGCTTCGCGCACTCCTCTTCCTCCTGCGCCCCTGCCTTGAGAAGCCGGGCGGCAAGAATCGGGACGGCCAGGCGGAGGGAGGAGAGGAGGGAGGAGAAGAGGGAAGGGAGGATTGTTGGCTAATATCTATATATGCGCATATATCAGTGCATATATACAGATCTATCCGTATCTACGGCCTCGCGAGCTGGGCCCCTGGGCCGCGCCCCCCCGGAATGCGGGGCGTTTTGTCGCGGCTCCTCCGCGCGGAACGTATCCGTGCGACCGCGCTGGATATCGCCCCAAATCCAAACCCCGACGGCGCGGATGTGGATGCGGTCGCCGGTCGTGCGAGGAGGCAGGGAGGGAGGAGGGAGGAGGCAGGGGGAGATGCGGAGGGGAGACCTCCTCCCTCCGCTCGCTGGCCCCCCCCCCCGTCGGACGAGGCGTGGCTCGGTCGCCCCGGCGGAGGTGCTCGAACGCGCCTGGGGCACCGGGCGACGGGCGGCGCGCGCGCGCGGATGCCAGGGGGGGCGGCGGCTGCGGCGAGGGAGCGAAGGGGCCTATCTGTCCCTGGCGAGCCTCGGCCACGATTGAGTTCCCCGACCAGAACCGGGGAACCGGCCCGAAAGCGAGAGACCCGTGCTGAGCGCCAAGTGGCGCGCACTTCGGGAATCGTGGCTGTCAGAAGGCAGAAACACACCACCCTCACACATTTGATCAAGCCTCCACGAGCAGAGGTCTTCTTCGGTCGCACACTCGTGGTTGGCAGGGGTCGCACGGGGCAGTCCCGTCTGGTAAACGCCCAGGCCTATTCTCGGGGGCGCGCAAACATGGATTAGCGATCCATGGATTTGGCGCGCGGTCGCCAAATCCATGGATCGGGGGAGGTGCCCTCGCCAAATGCGGCGGGTGGCGCCTCGCTCGGCGGCGGCAATCAGCGATTTCAAATAAACAGGACCCGTCGCTAATCCACGCCCCCTTAATCCATGTTCGCGATCCAAAAAATACCCTAACGTAGTCAACAGATAGTCAACAAATCGTCCCCAGACTTCTTTGGGGGCGTTTGTTGGAGATATTCCTCCCGTAGAGGTACAGGCCCGACTTGAGCAAATATTTCTCAAGCGCCAGTCCAGTTTCCCCCCTCGAGGCCTTCGCGTGGGGTCGGGGCGAGCTTGCTCCCCCCACCCCCTCGAGGCCTTCCTGTGTCGCTGGAGGCGCGCCTCCCCGGGGAGGACCCCTCGCGGGGAGGAGAGAGAGAGAGAGAGAGAGAGAGAGAAACAAAAAAAAACGACCCCGTGGAGGGAGACCCCTCGCCATTTTCCCGTGCATCTGTTGGTGTCGTGCGTGTTTATTTTGCTCGATGGTCCAGGATGGTCCTCGATGGTTCTCGCCGAGAAAAAATGCTCACGTCCGAGCGATGCCAAGCGTGGAGGGGGACCCCTCGCGGGGAGGACCCCTCGGGGGGATGGGGGCACGGCGGAGCGCTCTTTCCTTGGGGCTCCGTGCGCGGAGGGGAGGGGAGGGGGCCCCGAGCAGGAGTGCCTGGAGGGCCCCAGGAAGAGGGGTCTTTGGGGGAGGGGGTCTTCCAGGAGGGGTGCCCCAGGGCTGAACCTAAACGGTGTGTTTTCGTTTTCGTTTTGGCTTCGTTTTCCATCGTTTTGTCTTCAATCCGCCTTTACCGCAAAACGAAATCGAAACGAAAACGGCCAACGAAATCGCCAAAACACCGTTTAGGTCCATCCCTGGGGTGCCCCAGGGGCTTCGCACCCCCTGCTCTGACGAGGTTCGGAGGCCCCTGGGGGGCCCTCTGGAGAACCCCCTACCCCGAACCCCCCTTTGGAACCCTCCGAAATGCGGGGTTCGCAGATGCATTGGCGAAGGGGGGATGCATCGGCGCCGCCGTTGGGGAACGTCGGGCTCCACGCCGAGCCGTGTTGCCCATGCATCGGCGATGCGGCTCGATCCTCTGACCGGATCTGCTCAGAGCCCGTTCGGGAGGCCTGAGGGAGAAGGTCAAGGCAGTGTCTCGTGGGCTTTCCGTCCATGGGCCCAGTGAGGGGCTCCCAGAGACAGAAAACTGCGGAGAACTTTCGGACGTAACTCTCTCGCGGCGCTGGGGAAGTCATGTTGGTCCCTCCTTGGCCTCGCTCCTCGCCCAGCTTCTCGGCTCTCGCCCAGGCCACCGACATCCCGACTCTTGCCCGCTTGCGGGCCGCAGACGTCTCGACCTCTTCCCGGGGCACCACCATCTCGTCCCGGGCGGCCACACGAGGCCCGACACTGGACCCCGGGACGCAGAGAGAAAAACCTCCGCCCTGGTTCTGATCGGGGGGTGGGAGCTCTGCGTGCTTCGCGCAAGCCGTGGGCTTGGCAGGCCCGACGGTGGCACAGAAGAAAAGGGCACGACACAGCAAGCCCTGTCCAACACCCACAGCGGTCGCTGTTGCGTAGGCGACATTATGTCTCAAATGTCGGGGGTCCGCTAAACGAGGGGGCAGTAAGGGGGTGGTGAAGAAACGTGCGCCTTCGGTGCACCTTTTGAGACCGCGGTGGCAATTCAGGGTCCGTTTGGGCCCACTCTCCTGGAATCCTCACCCCCCCCCAGCGTTTACTGCCACCCGTTGCCAGCCGCCCGAATATGGACTGAAGTCTGCCAGCGGGCCGTTCTGAACGGACAGGAAGTGCTGTCGGTCGCCGTCGCCGTCGCCGCCGTCGCCGACGCCGTCGCCGTCGCCGTGGCCGCCGCCGCCGTCGCCGTCGTCGCCGTCGTCGTCGACGGCGGGGCAGCGCGCCCGTGTCGGGGTTCAGGGCCACCTCGGCGCGGCAGCAGGCGGCGTTGCCCAGCTTGGCGCCTCGCGCTGGGGGGGCGTGGCGGGCCGATTGGAGGGGATGGGAGAGGGCGACGACGAGGCGGAGGGGGACTCAGGACGCCTCGCGCGGGGCGAGGGACGAGAGGAGAACTACAGGGGGGCGTCGACAATCCCAGACCCTTGGAGGCGGCTAGAGAGTCTGAACTGTTTACGACCCCAGAGCATGGGCCCAAATCTGCTCAAAATCCGTCCCAGACACCTCCTGGGGTGTATCTGGTGCAATTGCTTGCAACGGTTTCGTTTCTGACTGTCCTGGGGACCGGGAGTGGTCCCCAAATGCCGAAAGAGAAACAAAAGCAGAAAACATCGAACCCAGAACCTTGAACCGGAACCAATGCTGAGGAGGGGGAAAGATCTGCCCTCGGTGAGGGCCCCTTGCCTTGGGAGGGATCTGTGTGTGTGTGTGTGTGTTTGAGTGTATGTGTGTGCAGGAGATGGATGGGGGGTAACCTTGCGAGTGCCTACTCTACCAGGGCACCCTGGCTGAGCTCCAGTGTGAGAGCCTCTCCTTTTTCCACACTGTATCGTCTCTCGCTTTTACCTTGTGGCACTCTGTTGCACCCTGTCATGGCGAAGTGCACGTGGTTCGCTCAGGGGCTCTGCCTCGTTTGCCCACGAGAGTCATGCTGCAGGACGCTGCGAGCCCTGTTCAGCAGAGCCTGCCGACTGCAACACGAGAAGGGGGAGCCGAGGAGGCAATTGACAGGAGGAGGGGATGGAGGTGGCAGGCAGAGGCAGGACGGGGGGGGCAGAGCATGGATCGGGCAAGCCTCTTCTGAAGGGGCCCTGGGACACACACACACACACAGAGACACACACACACACACACACACTAATACACAGACACAGATAACAGGACCCCCTATATCTTCAAATCTCTTCTGGGGTCTTGTCTTCCCCCCGCTTCCCCTATTTTCCCATACTTTCTGGGAAATCGACGATCAATTGTGTCTGTGTGTTGTTTTTCCCCCCCGGTGTATTACCGATCTCGAACACTTTGAGCTGGCGACGCGTTTCGGACTCTAGGTCCTCTTCTGGGCCAAAAGGCAGCGGTGTCCCACGCGCGTGCCGTGCAGCGCGCGAGCAAGGCAGCAAGAGGTCAAGAAGGCGGGGGGGAAAAACCCGGGGGTGAAAAACCCTCGGGGATCTGCTGACCCGGGTTAATCCAGACCCGGGTCAATCAGGCCTTGCAGAGTCCTGCAAAATCCTGCGAGATCCTTCACCCAAACCCGGGTCAATGCGAAAGATCCTGCAATATCCTGCAGGATCCTGCGCCCAAGCCCGGGTCAATGCGACCCTGGCCCTGCGGGATCCTGCAAGATCGGGCGCCCTGGCTGACCCCCGTTTGCATTGACCCCCGTCTCAAGGCTACCGAAAACCCGGGGGTGAAAAAACCAGTTGTTTCCAAACCCTGGGTATTTTTCCACCCCCGCACTTGCGTCTGTGTGTGATTTGTGTTCCCTCCCGATGTTTGACCGCGCCTGCCCGCCCCTGCCGAAGCCGCGGCACGCTGCCGCCCTGCCGGCCGCCGCGCCTCGAGCGGTCCTGGCTCCAGACGCGCTCAGCTGCTCGGCTTCGACACCCCACTCGCACAGTCGGGTTATGTTGCTCCCATCGTACTTGAGGACCAAGGCAGTCGCCCGGCTCGCAGTGGCGCGGTCGTAAGCAGCCTGGAACAATATATATGACAACGTATAAACTGAAATGCTTCTCCGCCCGAGAGGTGGAGGAAGACGAGGAGGACGAGGGGGACCACATCCCAGAAATAAATTCGAGCACCCAGAAACGTGTCGAGAGAGAGTGTCGAAACAGTGTCTCCCAGGGCCCGACACGTAACACCCCTCGAGTTTGGGTACTGTTTTTCTGGTGCTCGGAATTCTGTCTGGTGGTCAAGGCAAAAGTAGATTGGAACATCATAAAGGTCGGGCATGTCCCCGTACATGCGGATGTTGGACGAAAAAAGAAAATAGGCATAAAAATGCCCCAAGATGCTCAAGAATGTTTAAGAAATCGTCCCCGGAGTATTGTTTAACGATTTTTAATTCCCCATATCCTAAGGATTGGGGTTCTTGTTATTACTCAGACGCCTCCCACGCGCGGACTCCTTCCTCCCGCTCGCGCCTCCCTCCTCCCAATGATAATCACCAGATAAGACAAGAAAAGCTAATATACTACAAGATAAGATAAGATAGCACAAGTTATGATAAGGTAAGATAAGATATATGACAAGGTAGGATAATAGATAAGATAAGACAGCCTATGGAGTAATAAGATAAGACAAGATATGATGCGATAATATGAGTTGATATAAGATAAGCTAAGACAAGATAAGATATTTCAAGATAAGATAAGATAGAGGGTAATAAAGGTAAGATAAGATAGGACTCGACAAGATAAGATGAGACTCACTCTCACTCAGACTCACTCACAGTCACATTCACTCACACTCACACTCTCTCATGATCACAAAACGCTGCCAGGGGCATCATTTGGGAGCCCCAAGGGGGAGCCACCCTGGCTGATCTCACGAGCCCGTTCGCGCCGATTTTGGTGGGACGTCTCAGCTAAAATTGCCGTTTGGCCCCCCAACATGTATCTCTTGAGAGCCTCATGGTCTCATTTTGGACGAGCCGTTCGCGCCGATTTTGGTCTCAGCTAGAATTGCCGCAACATGTATCTCTTGAGAGCCTCATG